ATATACGCAGCATGCGGGAGAAAACCGTCACGTAACTCAAATTTTCTAAAACTGCTTTCACTACATTTGCTGCATATATTTCATGTCATGCCAGTCTCTGCGTTATGTTGATGGACTTTTATGTGTTTTATTTAATAATACTACATGATATTCCCTTAACATAATGTAAAGAATGTCATCGAGTTTCAGTGTAACGGCTTATACAAGTACCACGTAAGATCTGTTCTACAGTCGTAAGCTGTAAATCGTAAAAAATTGACCAATCACAATTGATTATTCTTCTGTAATTTGTCTGTGATTGACTAATTTCTTACAACTTAGAGCTTACGACTGTATTGTAGAACAAACCTAAACCGCGGGCGTGGAATAACGTGTTTACGCACACAAAGCTTCGATATCATACTATTGTAAGTTTGAACCATTTGAATGGAAGAATCGTTAAAAGTAGATCGTCTTTTTGCTCATAGTTGTTTGCTCAGCGTCGTTTGCTCAATGTCGTTTATTTTACTTTAGATACTTTGCTTGTGTTGTAATTTAAAGAACAAATACAGATTATTAACATTGCATTTTGTTGGCGTTGATTTAATAATCAAAATGTATACTATAATATGTGTAAATGGGTATTATAGCGTCCATAATAAACAGCAGATAAAAAACAAACAAAATAAAAAATCATGTCTTGTTGCAACAAATAGTAAGTATGCTAAAACTTACATCCATTATCTTTAACCTAAAGAGAAAATCTATCTAAACAAAAAATCCACAAGTTGCATTTCTTTATAAAACTATTTGCATATATTTGTTCTGATTTAGAAGAGTTCAGATTATTCTAATTCTCAATGAGTATTTCTTTATAATCTTCTATTTTATTTTAGAAAAAAAATCTTGCTTGCAACAAATTGCAGATAATTTAAACGCAAAACTTCCAGAAGTAAAATAACAATTGTATCACCATCAAATATTAATACATCAGGTATATGTTAAATTTATGTGTCATATTACACTTAAATGACTTAAAAATGACACTAAAAAAAAAGAATCCTGTTTTTTACTTAACAATATACTTGTTTCTATATAAAGTGCTTTAAATTAATATACACAAAATATATGAAATTGCTTGAAAGTATTATTACAGTACAATATATTTAAAATTGCTTTAAATTTTTGTCATTAAATCCATTTTATAGATTCTGAGCTAGCTCTTACTTCTACTTCTACATTACATATTGAAGCCTCAAATGTAATATTGGAAACTAAAAAAGATACTAGCAATCTGTTAAACAGCAAATGTGATGCTGAGCAAAGTGATAAAACCCAAAAGTGTGATTTAAATATGACGCTATGTAATACTAAAAATAACACAGATTATAACAAGGAATCTGCGTGTATGATTGAAACAGTTGATGCTATTTCTAACGATAAAAGTCTTAGTACATTGAATAGGAGTGGTAGCAACAGTATAAAAAGTGGTAAGTCTATGAAACATGTTCTTAAGTGAATTAAAATACATTCAGTAAAAGACGTTCTTCGTGCACACTGTTTTCACAAATGTTGCAACTACATGTATGTTAATAAAACTAAACATTTTTTAACTATTAAACTACGTGGTTTTACAGATTTCTTGCAAGCTGTTGAAACAAATGCGATATTAAATATTGAACCATCAAATGTGATATTTGAAACCAAAGATGTTTACATTTTGTCAAGCAAAAACTGTGATACTGAAGTACAAAGTGATACAACCCAAAAGTTTGATTCTAATATGACGCTATGTAGTACTAAAAATAACACACATAATAACAACGATTTTGCATGTATGATTGAAACAGTTGGTGTTCTTTCTAACGATAAAAATCTTAGTACATCGAATAGGAGTAGTAGCAACAGCATGAAAAGTGGTAAGTTTATAATACATATTCTTAATTGAATTAAATTACATTCAGTAAAAAACATTCTTTGTGCACAGCGTTTTCACAAATGTTGCAATACATGTATGTTAATAAAAATAAATATTTCTTTACTATTAAGCCTGTTGGTTTTACAGATTTCTTGCAAGCTGTTGAAACGAATGCTATATTAAATATTGAAACATTAACTGTGATATTTAACACCAAAGATGTTTGTGTTTGGCAAACAAACTTTGTAATACTGAAGTACAAAGTGATAAAACCCAAAAGTTCGATTCTAATATGACGCTATGCGGTAATAAAAATGACACAGATTATAACAACGATTCTGCATGTACGATTGAAATACTTGATGTTCTTTCTAACGATGAAAATCTTAGTATATTGAATAGGAGTAGTAGCAACAGCATGAAAAGTGGTAAGTTTATGACACATGTTCTTAATTAAATTACAAAACATTCTGCAACAGACAATGTTCATACAGTATGGTATAACTATATTTACTTTATTGACAATAAGCATTTTTGCACTTTTAAAACCGTAGATTTTATAGATTCCTTGCAAGTTGTTGAAACAAATGATTTATTAAATAGTGAAACATCAAATGTGATATTTAGAAATACAGAAGACATTTGCAATCTATCAAGCAATGAATGTGATACCAAACCGTGCACTACAAGTCAAAAGCTTAATACTACTTTGACAAAATGTGATAATATAACTGATGGTGATTTTGAAAATTATTTACTAAAAGATGATTTTTCTAACGATGAGAACTTTAATGTTTTCATTAATAATACTAACAAGTTGATTAATGGTATGAATCACTACATTACAATATACATTAAATGGTACACGAATATACATAATATATATATAAATATATATAAATTTGATTGATTTTGGTTTCTAGAACTATCACGTAAGTGATATACTATTTGTCCTACCTTTACGTCAAATGTTATTAAAGTTGGAAACATTTCGATATTATCTGATCGCTCTAATTTAACACAAGACATTTAGTGTTGCAATAAATTCAACTCTACTTATTCACTTTGTGAAAATGCAACTTTCAATGAGAATGTCAATAATCCTACAAACTCTGTCAAGATTTTATCAAATGTACCATTACCTACTCAAGTACTACTAAAACAAACAAGACTTTCACTCACAGAAAAAATAGATAATATTACATATAATACGCAGCTAAATAATACTACAGATAATAGTTTTAACAATAATGTTTTTTCAGGTAGAAACAAAACTTACATCAATGATAATATTTCCAATACCACATTTGTTCCAATAGCAGAATCTACTGTCTTCGGAGAAAAACATTTAACATCAGAATGTGGAATCAAAACCAATACTTTTGAATCGGATATTTCTTTTACATCTGAGGAAAATAACGATGATAGTTTTCATATGTCAGATTGTTCTAAATTTGAAGATACAGATAAAGATAAATCTGAAAATACACATGAATATAGAACTGATACAAGTAAAACCTAAACTTTAGACAGTACTTTAAATGTGACATTATCACACTCATATAAAACAGCATG